AGGAAGCATTGGAGATAGGCTAAGTACAGATTCCTATTCAGTAGGTCTGGGGTGGGTCTGGATTTCTGCTTCTCCAATAGGTTGCCAGCCGATACTGCTGGTCTGGGAACTTGAAGTAGCAATGACATTAGGAGTAAACTGAACTCCAATCTGGAAGGTTTAAAGAGGAAGGGAGGGATCAGCTAGGGAAAAACACAAGTCATTTAAGGGAGGTGGCAGGGCCCCCAGGGCACTGCAGTGGGTCTAGAAAACATCCGGAGGAACAGGATGCGATGTGGCCCTCTCCTCCGCTGGGCATGGGTCATGTCAGGCCATGCCCTACACGCCACCTCTTCACCCAAGCAGAAACAATTCAAGTAATTGTAATAAAGAACAAAAGACTCCCGGTTCCCACCAGGGGCAAATTGTTACCGAAAAGAATGTAGGTCGGATTTCTCCTCAAAGAGGTCCTCCCACCCCTCCATCCAAAGCATCCCTTCACCGCCACATCCAGCCAGCCTGCCCTGTTATTCCCCAGCCTGCAACTCAGTGATGGTCACAGTATCTCACATCACTCACCCTGATATCTTCTCTGATTACTCATTAATGGTGTGTCTCCCTCACCAGAGTATTAGTTCATTACGGAAGGAAATTCATAGGTTTTCCCTGGTGCCCATAGCATGCCTAGAGTCCTACATAGTAGGGGCTCAAAATATGTACGGAACGAATGAATGAATGAATGAATGAATACCAGGAATGGTGAAGCATTAAAATGTATTAACAAAATACAGGAGATAAATATCTAGGGGAAAAAAAACTTTAAAGAACCAACAGTCATTTTCTTGGGAAAGAGGGGAAGTCTATTAGAAAAGGACAGACCCAAACAAAAGTATGATGCAGACAAAGTTTGGGGACCCCTTTATCCCCGTTTCCTGTCTTTTTCCTTTTTTTGAGTGTTATTTTTTAACTGCTCCCAGATCCTTCCCACCACCTCTACCCCGCACCTCCACTGTCCATGGCACTGAGCACTGCTGTCCATTCACATGTGTCACAGAAAGAAAGTTGATGCATCACCAATAACTTAGAGGGAATTTGCTTGATATCTTGAAGTAAATCTAGACAGAGAGCAAACTAAAAGAACAGATTTCTAGTGGAAGCATTTCACCCACCGGACTCCTGCCCAGGAGGGGTACGGAGGGAAGCAGGGCTTCTCCGGCCCCCACACCAGAAAGCGCAGCACTGCCTGTCCTGCTCCCGGAGAACGTGGGTCCTCTGGGTGCCCCACACAAAAATAGGCTAAGTCACAGGGAAATACAGCAGGCCAAAATCGTGTCTTAAGTGCCAGAGTTTCCAATAACAAAGCAAATACAAATTAAAGCAAGATACAAAATTTTGTCTATTAAATTAGCATAGATTTTTTAAAGACAAAATCCAGTGTTGGCAAAGACGCTAAGAAAAACGCATTCATATTCAATTTGTGAAAGTGGGAAAAGAGACACACTTTTCGGAAGCAATTTGGCACTATATGTCCAAAACCTCAAAAAACAAAACAATAAATAAGCCGCCATTGGCCTGGCCAAACCTTTATTTGCGTTGTGCCACAGCTCAAGGTTCTCTCAATCTTCCTTCCCCCTCTCCCTGCCTGAGAACCACACATGCCTCATAGCCTAAGGGCTCTCCTCCCCTTCTCCTTCCCCGCCCCAGAAAACCTCTTGAATATCTTAATCCCATGTTGCCCTGTGCTTCCAGTCAGACCCAACCTAAGGCAGCCTGCCTTGTCGGAGAAATTCTCCCTACTCCCCTGTGACACCAGGCTTCTCCCACCTCCAGTGAAGACTCTGCAATGACCTTTGTGGAAATAGCCTGGCAGGGGATTGGGGAAGCCAGTTCCCTCCATTCTTTATTCCTAAAACCCCTCGTTGCCTTGGATTCTGCCATCAGTAATGTGCTAGAGACAGCTTGTATCAGCTCCCAAAAGCCAACTGTTACATTTTCAGGATTTTAGTTTAGTTGGTAAATAATCATTATTAAATAAACTTAGAATTAGGCAAATTCTGTTAAAACCAAAGGCAATAAAAGCTCAAAAACTCATCATCCCCTAGTGATTAACAACGTTCCATTAGTATGTATGTATGTGTATATGTGTATATGTATATATATATATACCCTTGAGGTTACTTACATCTATTATATCTGGGTATTGGAAATGCTATGTAACAGTGTGCTACCTGCACTTCTCTTTGGATTTTAGAGGCCAGATTTAGATGTGCTGTTTCAGGTCTTTTCTTTAGTAACCTGAGAGGTTGCCAGCTTTGAGGTCAGCCTGAAGCAAGAGAAAGCTTCTAGCTGGTCCAGAGAGCTCTGCCCTCAGATCCAGGGAATCCAGTGGGCTGGAAGCACTTGTGGCACAGAGGCAGCTTTGGCTCATCCAGAGAGGCAAACCAGAGCACAGGCCCCCGGGGGTTTGCACCCAGGCCGTGAACTCGGTGGCATAGAACTGTTCTCCTCTTGAGAAACCAGTCTTGGTTTGTTGCTCGGCACTAGTAAATACAGCACTTCAGTCACAAGACATTAGGTAACCAAGCAACTGGTGCTCGTCATAACCTGGGGGTCACCTGACCCACTCAGCCGTAAAGTCAGCTAACATTTAGTGAGTGTGCACAATGTGCTAGGCTCTGTTCTTAGCATTTTACGTGTAGTGTTTCCTTTAATCCTCCCCACAGTTCCAGGAGATGGAACTATTCTTTCTATGATGCTTACTTCAGAAGACTGCAGTGGAGAGGGGATAAACTATTTGCCCCATAATCACACAGCTCATAAGAAGCAGAGCTTGATTTGAACCCAGGTCCTTTGGCTCCAAAGTCACATGTTTGATTGCCAAATTATATTGCTTCTCATGATCAAGTGGAAGTTTTCGACACAGGACTGGGCTTGGTCAGAAACCGAAGACACAACATACTGCCGTGGTGTGCTCTCTCCTACCACATGACCATTCTTCTCCAGCCCACACATGTGACCTAGGGACTTTCTCAAAGGCCAGGTGACTGAACAGACAACTGGCACAATATAATGGCACCAGCAAAAGTGACCTACCACAACACTGTCACCCAACTCAAGAGTGGCCCTGAAGAACAACTGAGGAGTTTTCCAGTGGACAAAAAAATTTTTATTCCTGGCTGGTATAGCTCAGTGGATTGAGCGCAGGCCTGCGAACCAAAGGGCCATGGTTTGATTCCCAGTCAGGGCACATGCCTGGGTTGCAGGCCACGTCCCCAGCAGGGGCACGTGAGAGGCAACCACACATTGATGTTTCTCTCCCTCTCTTTCCTTCCCTTCCCCCTCTCTGTAAAAGAAAAAAAAAAAACCTAAACAGATAAACTCTTTAAAAACAATTTTTAAGAGTTTATTTATTTATTTTTAGAGAGAGGGGAAGGAAAGGAGAAAGAGAAGGAGAGAAACACTGATGTGAGAAAGAGACATAAATGAGTTGCCTCTTGCATGCCCCCACCTGGGGACCTGGCCCACAACCCAGGCATGTGCCCTGACTGGTTTGGACTTAAACGAGTGACCTTTCAGTTTGCAGGCTGGCGCTCAGTCACACTGAGCCACACCAGCCAGGGCTCCAGTAGACAAAATTTTAACTATTTCACCCAGTTGACCACTTTGTCTGAAAAGAGAAATGGTTGGAGATGCATATGTCAGTAGCTGAAATAGCCAGAGACCTAGAGAAGCATATTAGCAGGAATGGGGCATACGAGGGATCTCTGAAAATGGATCCACAGTATGAGGGTATTTGGTTCTTTGTGAGTAACCGCCAGAAGGTCTCCACTGCAGAGGAAGCACTCAGTAATCAGGTGACAAGGTGGCCAATCCTCTGCACAGCAGCTTTGCTTCTTTCTCTAGGTGTCCAGTGCTGCCTGGTGATCTCCTCAACAAAGCGAGTATGGAGGCAGAAATGCAAGGTATGTGGCTTCAGCAACTTGGATTTCCCCTCAGCAAGCCTGATCTGGCTACTGTTTCTGTTGAATATTTAGTTGCCCAGCAATTAAACCTAAACTTGAGTCCCTGCTATGAATTAGGCTTGAATGTAACAAAGCCAGGAACAATGTAGCCAGAAAAAGAAATGGATTCTCTCCAGACCACCACTGCCAATGCCGTCTTCTGCTCAGCATTTAAATGTCAGGATCCGGGAATGAAAGCCGAAACCCTGCCCCAGCTTGTCCAGCAGAACTGGATGCCTCCTCCTCTGGGCCTGCAGGAGGGGCAGCTCTCCCTTCGCGGCTCCTGTGGGACCCAAATATGCGAGCCTGCTAACATTCTTTTTGTTAGTCTGTATTTTCTGATTGTCTTACATGAGCATGAACATTTTTTAATTCAAAAAAATTATTTAAAAATGTGTCACCCTGGCTGGGTAGCTCAGCTGGTTAGAGCATCATCCCAGTACGCCAAAGTTGCAGGCTGCTCTCGGGTCAGAGCACATACAGGAAGCAACCTATAAGTACATACATAAGTGGAATAGAAAATCAATGTTTCTCTCAAAAAAAATCAATACAAATTGAATAAATATATCATCTTGAGTTTCCATCTATGACCTTATAAGTACAGATTTATTATAAAGACTAGTATACCTAAAAGCTGGGGAAAAACTCAGTAAGCTTAATTTAAAATGAAAGAGAATTATATTCTAAAGACACAATAAAGAAAATACCCCCCAAAACAGGCAAAAAATACTCTGGGAAAAAGCAATAGAGTAATTCTACTTTTATTTATGGTTTTATTTAGTTTTTACAAATAATTAATAAAACTATGTTTATTTATAATGCTGCTAATATATGAGAAGACATGTGAATATTGATTGTACAGTTGGCAAAAATATACAAAATATTAGTTAACAAAAGCATTAGTTAACAAAAGTTAATAACTAACTTATTAGTTAACAAAAGGCCATTGTGAAAAGTTTATTAGTATTAGGTATAAAATTATGAATATTGTCAAGTCAAAGTTGTACATCTGTGGTGGGAACACTCATCATAAGTTATGTTTAATGTTTAACGAGAGAAAAAAATAGCCAAGTCCTATACAGTGAATACAATCTGTCTAATTGTCTTCCCAAACTCTTCTATGCTAAGTTATTTCATAGGACTCTTTTTACACTTGCATTTACATCCTTCCTGACATTTATCTTCTCAAGGAACTAAAAACAAAGGATGAGAGAAAATTATTATTAGGTTGGCAAACAAAAATTGCACATTTCTGTCCACAACCACAACCAAACCTAAATTCACAGTCTCGCACTCTATAACATATAGTCTCGTTGTACTCAAAATCTCATGTCAGTCATTAGCCCATGAGAGATGCTGGGCTTTGGAAGGTAGTTGCACAACATCAGAAATACATATGTCTAATTCACACTTGTTCGGTTCCCCAGCCCAGCCCAGCCTTGTGCCACTCATCCCTGCTATTAAAGGCCTGTCTCTCGCCCTGGCTGGTGTAGCTCAGTGGATTGAGTGTGGGCTGCAAACCAAAGGGTTGCCCGCCCATTTGATTCCCAGTCAGGGCACACGCCTGGGTTGCGGGCCAAGTCCCCCAGTGGGGGCCATATGAGAGACAACCACACACTGATGTTTCTCTCCCTCTCTTTCTCCCTCCCTTCCTCTCTCTCTAAAAATAAATAATAAATAAAATATTTTTTTTAAAAAAAAGGCCTGGCTCTCTTCTGTGTAGCAGACATAAGGAAGCTGCGGGTAATACATAGAGCAAATAATCCAGCAGCAGATCCTGGAATGTGTACATAAGTATGTAAGCTCATGTAACATATATGAATATGTATATGCACAGTGAACATGGATGATGTTATAGGAGTTAAAATAGAATGAATGTTCATATATAAATTTAAATAAGTAATGGCAGTTTGTGTGTGTGTATGTGTGTGTATATTTATGTGTGTATGTATATATGAAAACTTTAGTAGATTCCCACCACTCCTGATAAAGTAGAGAGTATAGGATGTAAGGATAAAGGATTTTGAGTGACAGGTGTTCTCAGACTCGGTGTAGCCAGGAACATCATCTCTCTTCAGTTAATGCAGCTAAAAGAGTATCGCCAGTGTGGTGGGCATGCTGAGTGTTCATCAACAGGATGGATTAAACCAACAGGGGACAAATCAAAATGAAAAAAAATATTTTCCATCAAGAATGTTAACTAGAACTATGAGTCATTACAACACTGAGAGCAAATCATAGTATATATAGTGTATATATATATATATAGATATATAAATATAATCTATGTAGATATAGATACATAGCCATGCAAGAGGAATGTATATGTATATACTCTGACACATTTATATATCACATAATTATATTTATCCTTAAGTATATGTACATATATAATCATATATACAATTATGTATTATATAAGTATATTTTATACATCAGACATATAAAGAAAGATACTTCTGTGACCTTAGTATACAATAGGCAGTTACTGCAAATACATAAATGTATGTAAGCATATTAAATACACCTGGCGTGCCTGTCAGTGGTGCCAAAAACTAGAAGAGAAATTTCATCCCAGTTGTGCCATGGGGTCTTTCAGCCCGTCTCTACCTCATACTTTAGGCCTCCCTTCACCTTGCCTAATTTAACTTCGAAACCAGTCTGGATCTGAGCGTGGTCAATATGTTTACATGCCAGTAAGTATAAGCTACTGTTAAAGCTTGGAAAAAAAGAAATTCTGTATCCCACTTCCAGGAACACTGACCATCTTGGCTGCACCGCCTCCAAGACGCCATGGAATGTGCACCCAGTGACACTGGGCAAACACGTGACTTACTACCTGTTAGCTCCAGCTCTGGCCCCATGCTTAGCTGGCTTCCCGCTTTGTGACAGGGCTGGTCTGGGCGTGGAACTTCCTGCTGCATGGTCCATTTCCCCAACCTCCCAGTCTACCCCTGCCACATGCACTCTCCCAAGGGCACCCGCTCCATGACTGAGGCAGCTGGGGCAAGCTTTACAAGTTGGTGGGGGTCGGGGGGCACTAGAAGGCCAAAAAGAGAAAATGGTAAAAAGATGGAAGACACTGGTGGGTCCCCAGGAAGTGAGCTTTTGCCCTGGTCTCTCCACATAAAGCTGACAATGATGATACTGTCAATCCTAGCTCCATTTTGTCCTGACACAAGACACAGCTCTTTGTCCTTAGATGTGGAAGCAAAGGAACCTTAAATACTCCCTAGAGAATCCAGAGTGTTTCAGTGCCAGTCAGAGTTTGTGAGGCACATGCCCTGTACACAGTTCCCTTTCACTGTGGTCCCTTTCACTGTGGTCCCGTTAAGGCCAAACCCAACATACGTGCATCACTAGGGAGAGAGCACCTCTGAGAGCAGAAACTGAAGAGGCAGAATAAAAAGAGAAAAATGCCAGATCCTATCTTGATCCCTGTCTGGGAAAAATCATGCTCTTTCTGCATGCCTGTAAGCAAAAGAAGGGTTTTGCTTTGGGCAGGGTGCTGACGCCTTCCCATGAACAGCCATGAGCCGCTCAGCAGGTCTTTCTGAAATGACCCTTTACTCACGCTTGGCATCCGGTAGCCCTTCCTTAGAATGAATTCCTTAAAGGCAGCTGGTCCATAAAGTTTTGCAAATGAAAGTAACTCCTCCTAAAAGAGAGTCCACATTGATTTCATAATTGTCCCAATTAGATGCATTTAACTCTAAAATACCTCATTTTAAACCATTTCCTCATTTGGAAATCTGTGTGTAGCTTATGTTCACAAGTTAATGAATATAAAGGCTTTCAAAAGACACACAACTTTCTCTGCTTTCCCTACCTTTTTTCAAACCCTTATGTTAAGGATAAGCCATACATTTTATTTTGTTTTACATTATAAAATCTTTGTAAGATAAATGTTCTTTTTAAAAGTTATTTATCATATTTTTTCCATTACCATGTAGTTCCCTTATGCCCACTTCCCCGGCCCCTGCAAACACCTCACTGTTGTCCATGTCCATGAGTTCTTTTTCCTTTTTACTCAATCCCTCCACCCCCTAACATCCCCCCAAGAGCTGTCATCCTGTTCTCCATCTACGAGTCTGTCTCTGTTATGCTTGTTAGTTCAGTTTGTTCATTAGATTCCACATGTAAATGAAATCATATGGTATTTGTTTTTTTCTGACTGGCTTATTTCACTCAGCATAATGTTCTCTAGGTCCATCCATGCTGTTGCAAAGGGTAAAATTTTCTTCTTTTTTAAGGCCGAGCAGCAGTCCATCGTGTAAATGTCCCATAGTTGTTTTATCCACTCATCTATCGATGGACACTTGGGCTGCTTCTATATCTTAGCAACTGTAAATAACACTGCAATGAATATAAGTGTGCTTATGTTCTTTCAAATTAGTGTTTCATGTTCTTTCAGATATATTCCCAGAAGTGGGATCACTGGGTCAAAAGGCAGATCTGTTTTTAATTTTTTGAGGTATCTGCATACTGCTTTCCACAGTGGCTGTACCAATCTGCATTCCCACCAACAGTGCAAAAGGGTTTTCCTTTCTCCACATCCTCACCAGCACTTGTTGTTTGTTCATTGATTGATGATAGCCATTCTGACAGGTGTGAGATGATATCTCATTATGGTTTTAATTTGCATCTCTCTGATGATTATTGATGTTGAGCATCTATTCATGTGTCTATTGGCTATCTGTGTGTACTCTTTGGAGAAGTATCTATTCAGGTCCTTTGCCCATTTTTTAATTGTTTTTGTGTATGTGTGTGTGTGTGTGTGTGTATTCATTTTTGCAAGTTCTTTATAAATTTTGGATATTAACCCCTTATCGAATGCATCTGTGAATATGTTCTCTCATTCTGTGGGTTGTCTTTTTATTTTGTTGATGATTTCCTATGCTTTGCAAAAACTTTTTAGTTTGATGTAGTCTCATTTGTTTTTGTTTGTTTGTTTGTTTGTTCCCTTGCCTGGGGAGATATATCTGATAAAATATTGTTACAAGCAATGTTTGAGATTTTGCTGTGTTTTCTTCTAGGCTTTTTATGGTTTTGAGTCTTGTATCCTGCTACTCTGCTGAATTCACTCATCAGTTCTAGTATGTTCTTGGTGGAATCTTTGGGATTCTCTATGTATGGTATCATGTCATCAGCAAATAAAGAGTTTTACTTCTTCCTTTTTTTATTTGGATGCCTCATATTTCTTTATCTTGTCTAATTGCTGTTGCTAGATTTCCAGTACTATGTTGGATAAGAGAGGTGAAAGCAAACATCCCTAGCTTATTCCTGATCTTACGGGGAACACTTGTAGTTTTTGCCCATTGAGTATGATGCTGGCAGTGGGTTTCTCACATATGGCCTTTACTATGTTTAAGTATGTTCCCTCTATTCACACTTTGCTGAATGTTTTTATCATAAATGGGTGCTAGAATTTATCAAATGCTTCTCTGCGTCTACTAATATGATCATGTGGTTTTTATACTTCATTTTGTTTATGTGATGAATGACAGTTATTGATTTGTAAATGTTGTTCTAACCTTGTATTCCCAGAATAAATCCCACTTGATTATGGTGCATGATTTTTTTTGATGCATTGCTGTATTCGGTTTGCTAATATCTTGTTGAGAATTTTAGTGTCTGTGTTCATCAGGGATATTGGCCTATAATTTTCTTTCTTTGTAGTGTCTTTATCTGTTTTTGTATGTGGACAATGCTGGCCTCATAAAATGAGCTTGAGCATCTTCCTTATTCTTGAATTTTTTGGCATAGTCTGAGAAGGAGAGGTGTTAGTTTGTCTTGAAATGTTTGGTAAAATTCACCTGTGAGGCAGTTTGGTTCATGGCTTTGTTTTTGGGGGGAGTTTTTGATTACTGCTTTGATTTTATTAAGTGTAATCTGTCTATTCAGATTATTTGATTCTTCCTGGTTTAGTTTTGGAAGATTTTGCATTTCTATAGATATATCCATTTTGTCCAGGTTGTCCAGTTTTTTTGGCCTACATTTGTTCATAATATTTTCTTATAATCCCTCGTATTTCTGTGGTGTCAGTTGTTACTTCTCTTCTTTCATTTCTGATTTTATTTATTTGAGCCCTCTCTCTTTTTCTCCTTGATTAGTCTAGTTAAATGTTTGTCAATCTTGTTTATCTTTTCAAAGAACCAGCTTTTGGATTCACTAATTTTTGTATCATTTTTAGACTCTGTTTCATTTATTTCTGCTCTGATTTTTATTATTTCCTTCTTTCTACTCACTTTGGGCTTTGCTGTTCTTTTTCAAGTTCCTTTAAGTGTAAAGTTGGATTGTTTATTTGAGCTTTTTCTTGTTTCTTGAGATAGACCTATAATGCTATAAATTTCCCTCTGAGGGTTGCTTTCCCAGTGTCCCACAGACTTTGGATTGCCATGTTCTCATTTTCATTTGTTTCAAGGTATCTTTTGATTTCTTCCTTGATCTCACTGTTGACCCATTCATTGTTTAATAACATGTTATTTGGTTTTAATGTCTTTGTGTATTTTTCAGTGTTCTTCTTGTGACTGATTTCTAGTTTCATAGCAGTGTGGTCAAGAAGGTGTTTGATATGATTTCAACCTTCTTAAATTTATTGAAACTTGTTTTGTGTCCTAACATGTAGCTTACCCCAGAAAACATTCCAGGTTGAAATATATGCACATTCTGTTACTTTGGGATGAAATGCTCTGAACATATCAATTAATCCCTCTGATCTGGTGTGCCGTTTAAGGTCTCTGCCTCCTTGTTGATTTTCTGTCTGGAAGATCTATTTGTTGAATCAAAGGGCTGTTAAAATCCCTGACTATGACCATCATTACTATCATCTTTCCTTTTGTGTCCATCAAGATTTGCTTTATATATTTAGGGTACTTCTATGTTGGGTGTGTAAATGTGCTAGGGTTATATCCTCTTGTTGGATTGTTTCCTTTATCATTATGTAGTATCCTTTTTTGTCCTTACTATATCCTTGACTTTAAAGTCTATTTTGTCAGATATAAGTATTGATACCCCAGGCTTTTTTCCCTTTCCACTTGTATGAAATGTCTTTTTCTATCCCTTTACTTTTAGTCTGTGTGTGTCTTTCAATTTGACATGGGTCTCTTGGGAGCAGCATATATGTGGGTCTTGTTTTCTCATCCATTTGGCTATGTCTTTTGGTTCGGACATTTGAGCCATTTACTTTTAAGGTGATTATTGATAGATATATATTTAGTGCCATTCTGTTGTCAGACTGTTTTCCTCCACTTTTTTTCTTTCTCTCTATCTTCTTCTTAAAGGAAGCTCTTTAACATTTGTTGCAGTACTGTTTTGGTGTTAACAAACTCCTTTAGCTTTTTCTTGTCTGGGAAGCTCCTTATTTCTCCTTCAGTTTCAAATGTTAACCTTGCTGGGTAATGTAGCCTTGGTTGTAGGTCCTTGTTTTTCATCACCTTGAACATCTCACACACTCCCTTCTGGACTGAAATGTTTCTGTTGAGAAATCAGATGACAGTCTAATTGGTTCTCCCTTGTATGCAACTACCAGCTTTTCTTTTGCAGCTTTTAGGATTTTTTCCTTGTCTTTAAGCTTTGCCATTTTAATTATTATGTGTGTTGGTGTAGGCTTCTTTGGGTCCAACTTCTTTGGGACTCTCTGAGCTTCCTAGACTTGTGTATCTTTTTCCTTCACTAGAATAGATAAGTTTCCAGTCATTATTTCTTCAAATACGTTCTCAATCCCTTGCTCACTCTCTTCTCCTTCTGGTATTCCCATGATGCAGATGTTATTATGCTTCATATTGTCCCTAAGGTTTCGTAAGCTTTCCTCATTTTTTAAAATTCTTTTTCTTTTTGGTGCTCTGATTGGGTGTTTTCTGCTACCTTGTCTTCCAAATCACTGATTAGATCTTCTGCTTCATCTAACCTACTGTTTATTTCTTCTAATTTCAACTATTGTATTCTTCATTTCTGTCTTATTCTTTTTTATGGTTTCTATGTCTCTTTTCATGCTGTTGAAGTTCTCAGTAAGTTCATATAACAGCATACATATAACCAATTTTTTAACACTATTATCTACTAAATTGCTTGCCTCTATTTCACTTAGCTCTCTTTTCTGGAAATTTATCTTGTTCTTTCATTTGGGGAATGCTTGTTTGTCTCCCCATTTTGGCTGCCTCTTTGTGTTTGTTTTATGTATTAGGTAGATCTGCTATGTCTCCCAATCTCTACACATGTTGGGAACCGCCCTGACTGGTATCAGAAGCTGAAACCCCCGCCTAGCTAAGGCTAAGGGAACGCCCTTGGAACTATAAGCCAGCAAGGAGACAAAAGCTTATCTCCCTGGCAGGAATGCTGCTTCTGCTGCTGAACCCCAAAAAGCTTGGTCGGTTAGCCAAAGACGGGTAAGATTCCCCACGGGGGAACGACCTAAGCCAGGCACGATCACTTTTGGGAGGCCCCCCAAAAGAAGGACTTGGGGGGCTGCAGCAAAAGGGGGGTGATGGACCCTCGCTCCTCGGCTCTGACATAGCCTGAGTTCTCAGCGTCTGGGAGAAAATCTCCTTATCTCTTGGTTTCCTTAGTTCCCTTGCTCCACCTAAGCCTGAAACAATGACAGGGTGGTGCAGCTCGGTACTGAGAAGTACGGATTTCCCGGGGTGATCAGGCCTAAGA